GCAGTGGACCCGTCCGCCCCCAGCCCGCTCTCCCCTATGCCCTCTGCCAAACAGAGGGACATGCGGAAAGCAGCCCTCCGAACAGCCCTTGACGGGCCGTTCCCACCTCGGCCGGAATTGGCCGCAGGCGGCAGCGCCTTTCCCACCTAGGGAGAGAGGCGCTGCCGTCTCCGTTGCCCAGGGTGCACCACAAGGAGGTTCCGGACCACGCACCCCAAGAAGCTGTACCCTGCCACGCTTCGCGGTCGCACATTGTGGTTGCTAAAAATAGAGATTTTTAAACGTACACAAACCAAATTAACATTTTTAAAAATGTAAATTATGTGATCTGTAAATATGTTGACCTGTCTTGTATAAAAAAATGTAGATGCAAAGCAGTTCAAGTTATGGTGGTCCTAGGCGAACCACATACTTTTAAAACAGAATTTAAAAAAAAAACACAGAAAAAAGAAGGTACTTTATCTTTATAATTTATAAACAACGATATGCACCTCTTAAATTGGAATCAATCTAGTGACAAAAAGAATAAAAATTCTTAGAATATTAAGTAAGGTTCTATAGCCGACGTTACTTTGTCAAATACGAGTATTTAAACGAAGTTGGATTACTTAACACGAATATGGTGAAACAAAACTAGAAACATATATTAAGTTACCAGGTAGCAAACGAGCGTAAAGCTGGCCTAATTGTGACCAGCTTAACAACTGAAAATGCTACTGTGTAATATTTTTTTTCAACTTAATGTATATTTTAATTGCATTGGGCGGATCTAATACCAAGTGCCTTTTTGCCAGTAAACCTTTAGGTGGTGTAGAAGACGTAACGGATGGATAAGAATGAAGTCTTAGAGAAGTAACGTATTAAAATAACGTAATGGGAACAATTAATGTTAGATTTCTATCCATAAGATAATACAGTTTTCTGATATTTAACGTCATTTTTTTGTTACAAAAGTACTATTAGTACAAAACAAGAAATCAAGACCAGTGCTATCTTAAACAAAAAAAAAATAGTTTTCATAAAAAAAAAATATCAACAAGACAAACCCATTAAAAGTTAAAGCTCATATTACCCACTTACGAGAAGAGAGTTGAAAGGAGGAAAGGTTGATACGAAACTTTGTGGTATTTTTTATGATATAAAGGCAAACTAGCAGTTGGGGTTTTTTTCCATTGCCCTCCGGTAACTTCACTCACTCAGTGAAATGCAATAAAAGAATAGCTAAACAATGAACCATGCTTCGCCCCCTTTTAAATCTACTAGGGCGAAGCATGGTTCTCCTACGGTTAAATAATCTAAATATATCTAAAATAAATTCCTTCAGAAAAAAAAATTGTAGTCCTATAATAAAAGCAATATCTCACCAATGATTTTGCATATTACAATATTTTCGCAAGGAACGATTTATCATACGGGTAAAGTACAACCATAAAACATGGCAATTCTTTTACTACGAAAGGAGATCAACCTTAGCTTTACATGAATGCACTACCCACCCATTTTAATGGTTACGAGTATAACACAATAGCTTTGGCTTAGCAACGGTGACTGGTTAAATGGAAACTGATACTATTCGCATGCTGAACAGACTTCACGTACCTATAGATATAAACATTTTGAGATGGCGTCACCATGATGTAAAAGAATGGTAGGGAAATGAGTTTTCTGAGAACTTGTGCAGTTCATTCTTGTTGATAAGAGAAGAAAATGGTTTGAGATTTAAGAAGATGCAGTAGTACGATTCATGTAAGAACTTTTTCGATGGTTTGGGTCTGTTGTAAAGGTAAGTGGAGAACGAATGACTAATGAATTTTACAAGACTTCGGTAAAAAATTGTGGAAGAAGTCTGTGCGAGTAGACCCTAAAGGTGTAAATAAGTTTCAGTATACTGAGGAAGGGCCTAGTCAAAAGTGTAAATGCCAATCTGTGTAACGGGTTATCGTCTGTGGTATTTCCGGACCGATACGACCTTCAAACTTTCAAAAAAAGAGCGTACTCTTTCCTAAAAGGCCGGCAAAGCGTTTGTGACTTCTTAGTTGCAGACGTTCATTGACTGCGATGGTCACTTACTATCAGGTGACTCGTCTGCTGGTCTGCCCTCTATAACTTAAAAAAAAATGGTGTTGTTTTGTCTTTACCCACACCAGACGGGAATGAGGTGTGAACTTTTTGGAGATTTCGATATAGTGTATGAACTTAGATAAAAAGAATATGTTATCAAGGTTATATACGTTAAGCTTTGTTCAATCACACTTCAAATAACTTTGTTCAAAATTAAAAATAATAATCTGCCTGAATTTTAAAAACACATTTCTAACTGTTGGTTCAAAGAGAAATGATGTTTTGGACTGTTTTAAATTTCATAGCTCCAGCAATCTTAAGTGCTACAGTGACGAAATATTTCTGAACATATTAAATAAATGCCCTTTTTTGAAAGGGGATTTATGAAGGCTGCTTCCAAGAATGGGAACACAAATTGCTAAACTTTTCTGAGGGATTTGATACCATAAGAAAGTAATCAATAATAAATTCTATGCATGTTTTAGGGACGCCTTATCGGAAGGGAAAGTTCTGCATTATCATTTTCAATAGGGTTTCATTATGTGTCATATTTTATTGCAAAATCATGCGGTGGAAAGTAACAAAGTCGATATTTTCTTTGTAAATTTTTTACACACATTTCTAACTTAACAATGAAGGTGTAGTGGTATTTTTTATAAAACAAATCTGTTTTAAATTTCCCTTAAATTCAAGTTGTCGAAATTTCCAATCATAGTTTTTTTTTTTAATATCGTAATTCTCACAAGTGTTCCATCTGGTTAAAAACCTTTACAGTTAGTGTCTATTACCTCTGCTGTTTACTTAAATTCCGAAGGTGTACGCATGTATGACTATATGTTGCATTTCTTGTTAAGTTCGCTCTACAACCTAGTTTTTATTGACAAAACTTTACGGACTCCCGACACTTAAAAACAAATGAGTTCATTATTAAAAGGTCCTATCAACTATCGATTTTATAATTGCACACATCACAAAATATACATTTACTTATTAAAATATATGTACTATATCAAGAAAGCAAAACCGTAACCAAGTCATGATGTGAGTCGGGTCGCACTCCAAATATAGTTTGATTAATTACATTTGTGGACCCTCTTAAAAGTCACATGTCACAAGCGATGACAAAGTTTTAGAGGGTGAACACTTTTGTTTATGTGTTTTCTCTATTCAGTCAGAGAAGCGCTGAGAGTTTAATGCCAATAATATTAATTCTAATGATAATTTCTTACTAACCATACATACGTACAAACATGCTACTGTCGAAAGATGGGCAGGACGTTTTGTCAACTATAAATTGGTCCAACTCGTTTAATACAAATCCTATTGCCGCCAAACGGGCACTGGTGGAATGAAAGGTGAAAAAATGTGACTGGATGCAATTAAAAGAAGGCAAAAACAGAGAGGAAATAATATTTTTTGCTTACACTTCCGAATTCATCCATATGCAGATAAAGCTTGATTAGAGTTACATACTTTAACAATTAGAAGGCAAAATTCGACATACACGGAAAGGAGAGGTAGAATAGAGAGAAGACAATGGTAGAAAAGGGATATTCGGGGATTTAAGCAATAGTTCGATCAGGTCTGTGTCGCATACCTGTAACTGGAATTGTCTGTTGCTGTAAAATGGTTATTTAGACTTTATAATAATAGATTATCATTCATTGTTAACATCTTATATATATATACAACATCTTATATATATCTTATATATATATACAACATATATATACAACAGCTAAATCAAAATATTATAAAGCTGAAGAGTTTGTTTGTTTGAATCTCAGGAACTACTTGTTCAAATTGACAACTTTTTTTATTGTCACATAGCTAATTTCTCGACAAACACTTAAAGTTATACAACATCACTCTAAGAACAAAAGAGAATAAAAATGTCACAAAAATCGGTAAAATTTATTCCTTTACAGAGACGCAGACGAACACGCAGCTAGTGGATTATAATTATTTAAAATGTTACTACATTTATTAAAAGACCTACATAATATCAACATATTCGAATAATAATTCTAGGCTTTATCTACAGAGTACAAATTACATACGTTAAAAGATAAACTTTTGTTCCCACGACACAAAACGTACTCGTAACTTTGTACTTTCCTGTGCGCGCAAAATTCTGCCTCTCACTAATGTTTTTAATTACAACTTTACCTAGTAAGTGTAACTTTGCGTACAATGCGTTGTTTCACAATCAATTTACCTATGGAACCTTAGGAGCTTTGTATATGTTGATATTATTGGATAAATATATGTACATAGATTCTCTACCATATAAATGTATGCCTAGGTTATATTTATTCTTGTAAATAATTTACTTTTAGACTACTAGACATCGAGGTTATTAATTTATTTTACAATTTATGATATATTATATTATTATTATGAAATGATATACTAAATTATAATTTATATTACACCAAAAATGGCAGGCTTAATGCTACAGACATTTTCTACCATTCCATCTTAGGGTGGTTCAGAAATATAGTTATTTTTGTGTGTCTAAGAACTATTATATCTAATGATTAGAGATTTAGTCGTGGGTGAAAATTTGGAAAATTTATAACGTTACGAGATATGATTATACTAAAGGTACAACCTAAATAGTAATAAGCAGTTAAATTCAAAATGGATGCAGATCTTGTTCAGATTCTGAAGAATAAAAATAATATTATTTTATACTATTATGTTGTATCTGAACCTATACTAAACATACTTCCTTCTACTATTCCTGGAACAAAAACATACTTAAAAACATCTTTATAAACATAATATTATATTATACATAGGCATATACAGATCAATGCAAATTGACATATTCATCTACGAAAAACATTTTAAGTGGCTGGAAATCGATACCTCGACTCCGCTTTTGAAATATTTATTCTCCCGTGCTCATTACAATAATAATTTCTATTTTTTAGGAGTTCTCAAACTAAACGCGATACTGGCAACTGGAGCTCACTCTGGAACTTGGCGTATTGAAGCTAAATGTGGAGGAGGTACCGCCCGCGTAGACATCACTGTTGGAACTGGACTAGGTAGTACTGCACCAGCAGCGCCAGCCGCTGAACAACATTATGTGGAACTACGCTTCGCTGACAGCATGAGACGAAGATATAAGCCTGGATTGCCTTTTGTTGGTAGGGTAAGTACATGCTTTTTAAATAGTTCTTAACCTAATATCCCTTTGTGGGCTAATAAATAACTTTTAGTAGTCTGAATTCTCTGAACATTAAGGAATTTTTTTTCAATGCGCTTTTCTATCTATAATTTAATTGTTCACATATAAATAATTAAAAGATTCTGCACGATTTTTTGACAACTTAACAATTTTTACAACCTTAAATCCTTCAATCGAGTACGATAATTATACATTTATAAGATTTTACGAAGTCCATTGACAGCTGTATATATAATTCACTTCAGTGATTTTAATAGTTTGAAAAATAGTACTATTTGAGAAAAAAGTGTAAATTAATATTATAATGAGATTAAATTCAAGAGCGTGAATATACTCACGAGTAGACTATACAAAATTGTTACCCACTATATAAAATATTAAACTACATTGAGAATTCAATACAGAGGTTCATTACATTCGTTCAGTTTCATTCTACATTACATTCAGTTTAACTTAATAAATATTAGGGTCGTCTTCTTCATAATTTTTTCATTTTGTTCGAGTCTGAAATTGTACAAGCCTGAATGGTAGTAAATAGCGGCTCGTTAGCTCATTCCGTTGGAACTTTTGACGTAGTCTTTACCTAAACCGTAGACAAAGGTGTAAGTTGATATTAATGTGGATACTATTTTTTTGTTTTTATCTACACAGATATTGTGTTGCAGATATTAACTGTAGGAGAAATAAATGAATACACATGGAGTACTAAATTTTGATTTCACCCACTAAACTAAACTCAATTTAGTCTGAAATATTATTTATCAACACAAATGTATTTTGAAGTCTCAATAGCATCAATAGTGGTAACTATTGATGCTATTGATACGTCATGATTTAATTTAATTTTAACAAAATGTAAAAAAGATTGTACAGGAAGAGAAATTTATTTCTTTTAATTATAACGGTTTTACACATTACATTCATACTTAATCCGCGTGGTGACGGATTAAGAATACAGAGTGTCACCACCCCTATTCATCCCGTGGGTGTCGTAAGAGGTGACTAAGGGAGGAAACTACGCAGGGTAATAGCACTGAGGAGAGAAGGAAAACTTGACACAAACCCTATACCAACCCGTCTGGCCAGCGTGGTATAGTAAGCCAAAGCCTCCTTTCTAAGGAGAAGCCTATGTTTAGCAGTGGACTATTAAAGGCTGTTATGATGATAATGACACATTGCAATAATTAAAGGCATATTACATATACATCAACACAAATGAAAACAAAGATAAAATATAAATCAAAACAAAAATCATCCCTCCTGCTCACAAAATCGCAAGCATACTACAATTACATTCGGCCATCTATCCGCAAACAAATCACAGTCGGGGTTGGCACACAGGAGAGGGTTATTAACTAATATTTGTACTAAATAGTTACTTACGATTAACAATAATACAATACTTAACTTTCGAGTAACAACTTACCGTTATTTGAATAGGTTACTCTATAAATTAACTGTTAAACAGTACCACCGTATTCAATGCCTTAAATTTTGATTAATTGTAATTCGACGAATATTAAATTACAAATTAATTTAATTAAAACAAAAGTTATTGTAACAGGTTTACAAAATATGACAAAGAAATCAATACCCGTTTTTTGAATGTATGTCACACACAAAAAAATAAAATCATTTGAATTAGCGATCTACTCGGTGAATCTTCAAATCGGTTAAGGAAGAACGTTAGATCAATGCGTTTTTTGACTAAAGGTTCGTTCGGTTCATTAACCAAAGCATATCTATGTTATTCTTTGATCATTTTGCTAGGAGAACAATAAAACAAATTACAGAGTCAGCCTAACGAATAGCTTTTATATCGACGTTAGTTGCCTTTCTTTCATCGGAGTCGATTATTTTAGAAATGATTTTCTAATGGCATTAGGGGCGGAATCTTTATAAATCTTGTTAGCTGTAAAATTATTAAACGTCGCTCATTAGTTAGTTTTTACTATTTTTTTATTGATATTCAACAATCCTGAGCCTTAAGAATTAAGACAGCTACATATTAAGGCATGATGTTAATGTTTTCTTTTCTTATATGTGATATACTTAAGTAGTTATGTATGTATGTATATTTGCTGGTATGAAGTATTTGTTTTTATATATGTAAATATCTATGTGTGTGTATATGTGTATATTTATTATATATCTCTTATATTATATTCGTTAGCAATTAACCTTAAAAACTCATTTCATCGTCAACTACTACTGTCCCTACGGGACATTTTGATCCAGCCTAAGGTTGGCTGGAAGCAATAAGACCGCCCTCTGTACATTATAAATATTTAATGTACCATACTTCTTGTAAAACGGTGAACAACTTAAGAGTTTTCTATTTATCTATCTTCTATCTATTTTACATTTGATATGTTATTATAATCTTTAATCGTTTTCGAGTTATTGAATTTGTACTAAGTTGATGCGATGTTCATAAAATAACTTTAGACATCAATCCTTTTTTGTTTAAACTTTCTATGTTCAGTATACTGAATTATTAAAGTTATTAAAATGTCGTTCTAACTAAAACTTAATTAAAAGAAGCTTCAGTTATTTCATTATTAATTTCTTAAGTTCAGAACCTGAACTTTGAGCCCTCAATACTTTTTACTTACAACGGGGAGAACCTACAAACCTGAGGTCAGTTAGAAAAGCAGCTTACAAATCCAATTTACATTTATGGAGATACATACTTAAATAAATGCTTAGTAAAATAATATACACACAGTTATTATAAGAGAATACCATTCAGATATTTTTTTATAATAATATATAAATTCAATATTTAAATAAGAACCGACTTCCAGAAGCCTAAATCTTGATAAATTATAACAATCTTTATTTTTCATTCTTCGAAATTTTCTAAATTAAAATTCCAAAACATTTATGTAAATGCCAGACTGCATCATCAACTTCATCAAATAGTGCTTACTGAGAACAAAGGTATCATCGTCAGCCTATCGCTGGATATAGGCCTCTCCTATTACACGCCACTTCGATCGATTTTCGGCTTCAGTTAACTTAACAATGTCATGAGTTACCTAAATAAAGTCAGAAAAAAAACAATATTGATATGTATTTACTTGTAACGTTCCCTAAAGAAAGCCCTCGATTTTTCCAGGATCATCAGATCCTGACCTAATGACAATAAAACTAAAAAATATTATTTAAAACAAAACATTTCATTTTACATCTGTTTAGCTGACTTTAGGAAATCCTGTAACATAGATAAAAACAAATATAAACCTCATCATTTTTCATACTCATAAAAAAAGTTGAATAGTTTTATGAAAGCATTATAGCAAAAAAGTATATTCTTAAATTTAAAAACATAATTACAAATATTTATTAATAAAATTTACTGAGCTAAATACGAGTACATACATCACTAAACTGAATACAGACTCAATTGTTAATGACCTTACTTCATATCTGTGATCCTGTCAGCATAGATTTTAGAGGTAAGCCAGGTTGACTCGGCAAACATAACAGATTAGTTAAAGGCTTTAAGCTGACGTCTCAATATTGTTATTCGCTGTGCTCGAGGAAAGCTGTGCATTGGTGTAAAATTATTAATTTATACTATGTTTGGGATGAACCTTCCCTAAACGTTCATGTGGTTTTGGCTTCAAACGGGCCGCAGCTTTAAGAAGCCTTTACCTAGAAATTATTCACATTTACCGGTAGCCGCTTAGAGCCTGCTTGTAGTAACATTCTAATTTTGGTATTATAGTTTGAAAATTCTGTGTAGAAAATTTTCTTTGAGACCTTCACCCTTCCTTTGATCCTTCAAGCTGAAATCATAATTTGAAAAATACTTTTTCTTTAATATCAGGTTGAAGCAATGAGCACCGAGAAACGAGTTCGAGTCCGCGTCAAACTGTATGACGACAAAACCGACATATATAGCCAAGACATTGACATGTCGACCGGAGAAGGAGTGTTTATCGTGCCTACTGTCATGGCCGATGCTCCATACGTCAACTTACAAGTAAGTACATGTCGAAGTTAAGCATTTAAAATAATAAAACTAGTTTATTAGTTTTGTGAAAAGATTATATAGGTAATGTAACTACAAATACAGCTGCACGGATGGCGTAGTGGTTTAAGCGGTCGCCGCTTCATACTACGCTGTGTGTTGTGAGTTCGATCCTCACATGGGACGGCACTTTGTGTGATCCACAAATTGTTGTTCTGAGTCTGGATGTCCTTTGTGTCCATTTCATGTATGTTTGTAAATTCCCCCGCGACACAGGATACGTTCCTAATGCGGGTGTAGCCTTAAAAAAAAGCTATATTTAAGTAATACATGTACGTATCTACATTTGAGTAAATATAATAATATTCACTTGACACTCATATTACACATGTTATACAAGATAAACTTATCTCTAATATATACATATATATATACATATATATATCACATTCATCTTCTAAGAGTTAAAGAAGTAAACTCTAGCTACTGTTATTTCCAAAAGGTTAATTTAAGATTAATTTGTAGGTAAGTTTAAAGGAAAATAACACACTAACAAATTAACATTTACTATATAATTACGATCATACAAATGCTGTCTATTTCTGCCAACTCCATCTCAAATTAAATATTCCATTAATAATCAAGCGATGAGCTTTCAGTCGATGCTGAAAGCACTGAAATTAATGAGTATTAGGTTTCACTAATGAGATGATTAAAACGAGTTAGATTGCATTATTACTCGATTGGAGAGTAAATTACTCGAACTAGTTATGTACGTGAGTTTGGGCGATTAATTAATTATTAGGGTTTAAAAACAATGAGTAGACAATATAACCATAACTGCAACTGTAATATTATATTATATAAATGCAGTTCAAAAGCTGATATTTCAAAATTTAATAAGTAAAAAAAATTAACAATTTTTTAAATGAAAATAACCGTTTCTTTTCAATAACCTTTTTAGGCCATTCTGAAAATTTTGAAGTGTTTTGGAAACATATTTACAAAATAATGACACTAAAGAGAAAGTAAAGAAAAGAAAATACACTAAAGAGAAAGATTTAGGGTAAATAAATAAAAATTTAAAGATAAACTGACAATTATGAGCCACGAGTATAAATACTAAATTTAAATACCGTACAATGATTTAAACGACTCACAACATCCAGGCAAATCTTTTCCCTACGAAAATTTGGACATTCGCGCCTCAAACTTTAATGTAGTTTAATCGCCTCATTAATTTGGCCTCTCGAAACTTGTGAAACTTTGATACCCCCGGGATCACGGTACGAGGAATATAAATAGCTAGAATTTATACCAGAACTGTTTTGGCGCTAATCTTAGATATTTTAAGACCGATAGTGGTTACCGGATAGTATTAGCAATGCAGATCTTTTGATAAGTAGGCAATTTATGTCGGACTCTGGGACTCTAATCAAGAATTGTGTTCTCATTGGAGAGTAAATCTGCAATCAGTTGAAATAGTGTGTTTTGTTAGTAAATATCTAAATGAGTAAATAAGTATATATTTTTAGTAAAGTATAGAGTTTTAAGATATATTTATGGTTTTTAGTGTTATGGTCACTTTGAATTATTATTTAAATTATGGTAAAGTGTGATGGAGTACAACTAAAGGCGTAGCCAGGATTTGCTTTAGGATAGGGTGAAGCCAGGAACGAAAATTAAATTTTTCATGTTAAAATCAGGAAATTGCCTAAAGTTTTTATTTTAGCAAAAGCCTGCGAGGATTGGAGGGTTAGTTTGTACCAACCTTCTAATCATTCAAGTCAAATTTCTAATCTACTACATGCCATAATATAAACCAAATTGGAAAACCTATTTAAAACCAATTTTGAACCTTTCACGAAAGCCATCCTTTTATAATTCACAAGTTCTAACTAAAACCAGTAAGTATCTATTTTAAAGTAAAAATATGGACCCAATTACAGCTGGGTCTGAAAATGATTATGTTATCGTCATCTAATATAACAGCTCTAGGATTGGCAATCCAGCTAAAGTGCTTTTAGGACTCTGATGAATATCTTATGAATTATTATATGAAGCAGCTCGACGTGATCGGCGGACATACGGACGGTTTGTTTGACGAATATTGAACATGAATATTAATGTGAATAAATTATAACTTTAATAAAGCAACGTCATGAAAACTTCGTATTATTAAGGTGGATAGGTTTGAAACTGTTTGTATAACTTTTAAAAATATTGAATACTTACAAATTCAAATCCCTGTAGTTTTCATTGCGCTATGTTTGCGTTATAGATATCACTTTGTGTACTTGGTAATATTGTTTATACAATTTATTATTATTGCACAGCACAAATGACTTTAGCTTAACTTAGTTTAGTTTGGAAAGACCAGTTCAAAAAAAAATGTAGCTAACTAAATTGTGTAAATTCTTAAGCTAACCTGCAGCCATAACTTTTAAAATTTTGTATGTTTTAGGAAATGAAAATTACTTCTGCATTTTTGACGAAGAAACATCGTTAGATACTTGCCATACTTTATTTTTTTCAAATTATATTAATCCTTATATTAATCTTAAAAACGAATCAGTAACTTGGAAGATTACAACTTCATCCGGATTTTCAAACTTTACTTCTTCATAAAGTTAGTACAGATTAAGAGCCCATTAGCAAATTTTAACTTAAAATTAAATTTGAAATACGCTTCAAACTTCACCTTATTAAACTACGTCCTATTAGACGCTTGCATTTTCTTTGTGACTGCAGATAAATAACGATTAGTTATAATTAAAAGCGCAATTTATTTTTTATTTGTTAAATATTTTTACAAAAAGAGTATGTAACATACAGTCAGTTAAAATTTCAAAAATTAAACGTTCTTGGCTTTATATCATGATAACAATCTACTCTAAAAGTCTTTGAAAGAGTAAACAGTTTCCGAATATGCAAAATACAAAAGTTAATAAGAACTTATTAAATTACCTTACTTTTTAATTAATAAATATTTTTACCCGTATTTTGTATCTTTGACTATGGTAAACCGAATATATTTCTTGTTGATTAGTGCGCATGGCTTAAAAAGAGCTATATCTAGTTCGTTAGTTATTTTTTTGTGATTTGTCAGGTCCGTTAAGTAAGTGAGAAAAGTCCGTTAGGTATAGCCCCTTTTTTTTTTTTTTTTTTTTTTTTTCCGTGCGGAAATCCCCTCGGATACCACCTGTCGGTGGCATGTCGGACACGAACCGACTAAAACCGCACGCCTTCGCCGGGTACTAATAGCCGGGGAACCAGGTATACCCTAGAAAGGAAGGCCCTGGTGCCCCGACATACCTCGGGTCATCTACAGACGAGTAGACGACCCCCGCCCCGTGTGGGAACCCCATGTTCCCTGTGCTCCCTGGAAGCGAGCGCGCTTCGCAACGCGCTCGCCGCCACCCCGGCCTGCTTCTGCTAGGGTGACAGATGGCCTCACCTGTCACCCCCAGGCCTGCGCTTATGGAGGACGGAGGTCGTTCTGCGACCTCCGGCGCCTGAGTGACCTGCGCTGCCTGGCCCGTGCCCGGGCCTGGCGGGCCGGGAGAGTTCTAAACCTCTCCCGGTCCCGCTCCGCCGTCTCCTTCGCGAGCATAACTTGCTCGCAGAAGGAGACGGCAGAGTTCCACGCACTCTCGCTCCGCACGATAGCCGCAATCAGGCTATCGAGCGAGAGAACTCCCACTCCGATGGCCGCCACGAGGTCTCGCCTCTGCTCAACCCACGCCGGGCACTCTGCCAGCGTGTGGAGAGCCGTGTCCACGGTCTGGCCATCGCAGTGGTGGCACTCAGGCGTTGGCTCCTTGCGGATCAGACACAGGTGATCTCCGAAACATCCCTTCCCAGTGATCACCTGCGTCAATCGGTATGAGAGGGTCCCGTGACGCCTCTCGAGCCAATCCTCCATAACGGGTCTTACCGCCGCAATGACGGCGTGCCCGGCGCTCGGTTGCCCGAGTCGTTCCCTCCACTCCCCTATGATGACCTGGCGGAGTTGGGATTTCCGGTCATCGATTTCTCGAATCTCGGGGTATCGACCCAACTCCTGCGCCTCCTTGCGCCACTGATACAGTGCTGCAAGGGCTCTCGCCTCCAGGTCCCACGGTGGAGTTCCGGCCAGGAGACTCGCCGCCTCGAAGGAGATCGTGCGGTACCCCCTTATGATCCTGATGGCCAGCATTCGCTGCGGTCGCCGCAGTATCGCGACGTTGCTGGCCTTCAGGGCCCCCGCCCATACTGGGCACCCGTAAAGGGCCATGGACCGCACAACCCCCGAGTAGAGTCTCCGGCAGGAGTCATCGGGTCCCTTCATGTTGGGCAGCAGCCGCGCCAACGCACGCGCTGCCCCAACCAACTTGGGGACCAGACCTCGGAAATGATATCCGAAGTCCCATCGGCCATCGAGTACGAGCCCCAGATACCTGATCGAGGGCTCGATGCCGATGCGAGTGCCTCCTACCGTGAGGCTAGATCCCTCAGGCGGCTTCCTCCGAAGCCCGTGGAAGAACAGGGCCTCGGACTTGTGCAGAGCCACCTCGAGACCCAGCCGCCGGATACGCTCAACGACTTGGGCAACCCCGGCCGTGGCCCTCAGGGTTGCCTCGTGGTGCGTCTTGCCGCGCGCCGTCACGAGTGTGTCGTCCGCGTAGCACACGACGGCGACACCATCCAAGAAGGCACCACGAAGCACCCAGTCGTAGCCGATGTTCCACAAGAGTGGCCCTAACACCGACCCCTGCGGAACACCGCACGACATTTCACGCCTACCGAGACCGGTCCTACTGGGGTAGACGACGGCTCTCTCCGACAGATATGCCCCGACTATGCGGCGGAGGTAGAGAGGCACTTCGTGATACACGAGCGCCTCCCTGATGCAGCTCCAGGGCATAGTGTTGAACGCGTTGGCGATGTCCAAGGACACCGCCAACACCACTTCACCCCGGGAGACTGCTTCCTCCGCCAGAGCCTTCACGCGCATGATCGCATCCACGGTGGAGCGCCCCTGACGGAAACCG